AGCTCCATAAACGTGTACTATTTTCAGAGCTGCATAATATACATCCAAGCATCTAAACACCTAAAACTATTAAACAGAAAAAACACATGACTATTCATCCGTTTCTCATGGGACGGAAACATGCAAAGAACATATATAATGGAGTTATCCACAAGAAATAAACAAAAGAACAAACCCCAAACACAAAACTCCACCAAACAAGAAAAAAAAAAGAGGTCATTTAGTGCAAGTAACTCAGCTTCCATTTGCTGACAGGTACTCAATTTCTAGTATCACCATGAACAACAGAACACTTAACTCATAGTGAAGCCCATATCCCACTAGTGCTCAAGTGGAATGTTGTACTCTTTTAATTTCAAGAGGATATTAATCTGGGAATGGTAAAAAGCCAAGCTATGAGAAAAAACAACCCTATCATAGTTAGTACAAATATTAACTGTCAAACAAATTAATATTGTCAGCATTAACTGACAGAAAATTCTTCCAAAAGCATGTCTTCCTCACTACTTTTGGCTATCAAGAACATAAAGTTTATACCTCGTTAGCAGCCGTTACTAATTTCTTCAAGCCCCAGCCATCTGCTGCCCAGCGATCTGCTACTTCTTTTTCTGAACATATAATGAAGTTATCAAAGTAGATATCAGACGTCATAGACCAGAGTTCTAAACCAATAGCACTGACAGCAGTCATCTTGAATGGGTGACTATCTTCAAAATAGTCTGGGTTTGGTATTTTCCGAGGGCTCCAGACTCCCTTTAACAGGAAAAGGAAAAAAAAAAAAAAAAAAAGGCAAACAAAAAAAAGTACTCACTTTACCTATACCTCACTAAAAGCCAACAAACTCTGAAACAAATTTTAAAACAACTGGAACCTCCTGACTATTTTAAATACATTATTTAAGAAGACAAGCAATTGAGTTTAACCTACATAAAACCAGAACTGGAAGTACCCATAGAATTTTGGTAGCTGCAGCTCAATTTTTTGTTTAAGGCAGACCTCTTAAAACTAATGGGTTTGTCCATAGAGGGTTACAGTAATAATTGACTGTACACAGTATCTCCATTCTTGCTGGTACTGGTGATTCCAAACACTCTTTTTAAGTTTCCTAGAGTAACTCTACAAAACAAATTTCCTAATACTGAAGGGGAAACACAATATCAGCATTACTTCTTCCTCTAGTCTCTCCTTCTCTAACACATAGCTTTGGGGTTTGCTCATCAATATAGCATTTACATTTTTGTAAGAGCCCTGCTTAATGTTTTGTGGTCAGTGATGGGATTTTCTGAAGTAAGCATCTATTGTCTGGTGGCCTAACACTGCAGGGGAACTACATCCCATGGTCCATATGGTCCCTTCCATTATGCGTGTGTATAAACTGAGAGCTACTGTAACCAGAAGCGTTAGGGAAAATTTTATGGAAGGAAAATTCAGCTTTGTTATACCTATGCAAATTAGATTCATATTTTGTTTGCAAATGTGCTTAGGTTCTTAAACTCATAGAAATCAGATTCAAGTACTCTCCAGCCATAATACAAAGTAACTTTCCTTAATATCAAACTGATTTCCTTGTAACTGTAGGTAGAAGGGGAATTTAATTATTGATGCTTCCACTAAAATTTAACTAGTAAGTCAATCTGCTTAATGAAAAGTTTCATTTTTTAAATTAAAAAATGTTAAGACTTAAAACCCCAACAAAAAAGATCAATATTTCCCTAAATAACATGATCCAGAATACAATTATACAGAACATATTAAGTGATACAAGTGCAAATCATGCCAAAAGCGACTTTTAGCAGAGAAATTATTTTAATATGGGCAGCATTTATATTTTCCAATGTACTTAAAGAACACACAAAAAAGCTCAAAATGTTTAGTGAGGGTACTCACGTTCTAAAATATAAAACATACTACATATATTTATTACTTTGAATTACCTGCTCTGTTGAACTCTGTACCTTCTAACAAAGACTATTTCTATTACCTGATAGTTCGGATTGTCTATCAAAGGTGCTTTCCATTTCCCTTTATAGTTTGGGTTATTCTTCATGGGACGCACCCATGGGCCACAACCAGGTGCAGCCTCACACTTTGGATTAGGGATCTGAGGGGCTTCCCACTCCCCATCCATATCTTCATCCCTACATAAAAGACAAGAAGATAGAAACAGCTGATTTGAGATTGGGCTGGTCTGAACACTAGCAGTCAGTCTGAAGTTAGGGTCCGTACACATTTTGCTTTAACAATCTCAAAATTTTGACCAGGCCACAGAGCTTTACCTAACATTAGCAAAATTTTCTTTTTGAGGACTGCTATACTGTTTATTCTGGTTTTGTTTATGTATCTTCAAAAAACAAAAGGCAATAAACATGTTTGTTTTTCTCTAAAAGCAGCCCTCCAAAAGAAATACACATTCCAATTTACTCCCTCAAAAGACAGTGAGATTTGATTGACTTCTGATCCACAATTCAATTCGCCACAGACAATACTCAGGCTTATCTACAAGACATGTTAACAACCTGCACTTACTGAATCTAGATCTTACCAGTCCTTTGGTTTTTTTGCATTAGGGTCTGGAACATACTGTGCTTCATCATCAAGCCATCCCTCAGGCTTTACAGCATCAGGATCTTCTATTTTGGAAGGCTCATCTTCATCCCTTCAATTACAGACTTATGTTAGAAAATACAGCAGCTGTATTTTGAATCAGCACCTGAAACACAGCACCTGACTTTGAATGAATGTTCTGTTCAGAGGACTGTAACTGGCATGAAAGGTATGATTCTCAAAGGCACAAGAGAATCAGACACAGTGATCATGGGAATTAGACATCCAATTATCTGTTTATAAATATCTGAGCTATATTTACATTGTTTAAAAGTCCTACTTAGCCCGGAAATTGCTGCCATTAAAAGGCAAGTGTCAATTGGATCTTACCATTAGGTTTTTCCCTCCTCTTCCTGGGTTGCCATATGAAACACAGTTCACACAGAAGTAGAAATAACTGAATGTAAATTAAGACTATATGGTGAAGAAAAAAACCCAATGACCCTTCTCCTAATCTCTCAGATATAGTAATTTTAGCTATTAATTGCAACCGTGGAGGGTAGAAATTGAGCAAAAAGCACAGATTTTATTTCCTTAAATGCTGACCAGATTCTTATACCGACCTCAGTTATGTTTCCGAATTTTAGCGCTTCTAATAGTGAAAATATATCCCAACTCCCTGATTCCCATGCATAGGTTGATCAGTATACTGGAGAGCCAAGGAGTGATCACCAGGACCTACTCACCTTTAATAGCCCCATATGGCCAGTGCGAAAGTCTAATGGAGAGTGGAGACCAACAGTAGACTATCATGGCCTGAATGAAGTCACACCACCATTGAGTGCTGCCGTACCGGACATGCTAGAACTTCAGTATGAACTGGAGTCAAAGGCAGCCAAGTGGTATGCCACGACTGATATTGCCAATGCATTTTTCTCAATTCCTGTGGCAGCAGAGAGCAGGCCACAGTTGGCTTTTACTTGGAGGGGTGGCCAGTACACTTGCAATTGACTGCACCGGGGGTGGAAGCAGCCCTACCATCTGCCATAGACTGATCCAGACTGCACTGGAACAGGAGCAAGCTCCAGAACAGCTGCAATACATTGATGACATTATCGTGTGGGGTGATACAGTGGGAGAAGCTTTTGAGAAAGGGAGGAAAATAACCCAAATCCTTCTGAAATCCTTTTGCCATGAAACAAAAGTAAGGTCAATGGGTGGGCACAGGAGATCAAAACTATCAATTTCATTTTCCCTTATGAAAGGGATGTTACTTTTTGCTACACTGTAGAGACTGGTTCACTTTGATTACTTGTTTAGATTGTTAAGGAATTAAAAAAAATAAAAATAAAAGCAGCCTTAATTCTTAAAAATGTATATATACTGCAGTCACATTCTTGCTAGATTTGTGGCCTGGCGAGGTAAGGGAACAGGCTACAAACACTACTGTAGGGACAACAGGAGGGGGAATAGAATCTGAGTCAGGGCTGCCTAGTAAGGAATTTTTCAAATTAAGACACAGTGCTTTATTAAAATACTATAGTGAGAAACTTTTGGTGATCTTAAAGGTCTTTTCCAACTGCACTGATTCTGTGTTTCTATGATCTATATTTTTTATATGCTTTTTCTCCTACAGATAAAATCTGGGGTAAAATTCCAATGGTATTGATAATATCTTTGCAATGAAATTTAAAACTTTAAATTGAAATTTAAAAAATTAAAACTTTCAGATAACCAAGATGTACTTTCAGTGGGATTGGCTGTGCTTGGGTGTCCTGGTAATTAGCTCAGTTACTGCAGAAACTGAAAACAAAGAAACTCTGGATTCCAGTGTTGAAGTAGAGGATTTTGACAAGCAGTCTCAAGAAGCTGATGTTGATGGAGGTAAATCTTCCTTAGAGGTAAGATGACAGAAGTCTTTAGTTAAAGCTTGTTTAATTATAAGATATGCAATTATAACTGCTAGAGAAATTGGTGGACAAATGTATTTAAAAAAGAGCAAGTTAACATGCAGTTAACAACCGGGTGGGTGTCAAACCCACCAGTCCTTTTCAGTTTCTGTACGTGACACGTAGGACAAGCTTAACAAATGATCCTGCTATGCCAAAGTGTAAAATCACATCTCCTGCCTATGATGCGTGGTCATGAAGAAGGTTTTGCTAGTCTGTGCTTCAGTCTGAATACAAAACCTTTTTGTTGTAACTTCTAACATGCCATTGTTAGAGAAGACAGTAGAAAGTATCTTAGTCTTACTGATTTTTGACTTTAGACCAGTTCTTGATTTCATAAGCTACATTTTGACACTATCTTTGTTCCCAGAAAACCTGGCTTGTTATGCTCTACTTCGCAGTAGATGTGGGCAATATTCATAAATCATTTTTTCAACTTTTTACTGTGTAGCTCAACTATAATGTGCCAAGTAGACAGGAAACCAGAAGAATGGGAAACATTTCTAGAAAGAGGGAGGAAGCAGAGAATTGGTGAAAGCTTGGCAAATTTGTCAAATTTCCTGGCGTTTTGTTACACATAAGATGTGTAGCAGTATTTTAGTTATGAGGTTTTTAGGAAGCAGGGAGCAGGAAGCAGGGAAGAGGGATGCACCCAAACTGAAAATGAGAGGGGTGGGGGAAGATAGTTTTTGCTGTTAGATACTTCTAATGAACAAAATCTGGTGGTCTGTTTGGGTGGAACTAATCCTAGAGGTATGATAGTGTATTTCAACTTAACAATTGTAATTTATGTTAGAGTATGCTCCTGTATGTGTGTTTTAGGTTGTGTACCGGACTCCAGAGCCAACAGGGGAAGTGTATTTTACAGAAACCTTTGATGGAGTATTGGCTGGGTAAGTTTATGCCTTAAAATTTTAAACTTCAAACATTTTAATGTCTAGTGGGAGGACTTACTTTATATTCATTTTTCTGCTAGTATCTCTATAAAAATTAATTTGTACAGTGGCTACCACTGGGAAGGCTGGCAATGCTTGCTACAAATACAGCATAATGTTAAGCCTGATAGTGAACATTTCAGATATGTTGCTGGTTTTTGTGCAAACATTAGTTAACAAATGCAAAAACCGAGATACTTGAAAAATGTCATTCACTCCAATTTCTAAAAGATGAGTTTGTCTTCCTGCTAAATTTACTATTCAAAGCTTTTGCTTACAATGCTTGGGAGTTTTTTTTTTGGTCTAGCTGTACATAATTTACGTAAGAATAACAACTGTGGAACTAAGCTGTATGAGAAAGTAAGCAGTGGTTGCCTTTCTTCCCTAAAATTTGGGGAAACAGTGCTTATAAGTTGACTAGGTAAATCACTAGAATAGAATAGCTTTTTTTTGAGAATTAATTTTGAAAATCTTCTGTGTGACTTGTAGGGGTGTTTTATTTCCCTGTTGGTCTTTCCCCTTGTAGACCAAGGATCTAGTTTGCCATTTATATTATGAAGCTTTTCTAGCATCTCTGGAAAAACAAATCTGACTGAAATTTGAGCAGGAAAGTTATTCATCCCTGAAATACTCCGATGGTTCAGAATGAAGATAGTTCTTTGTGGAGTTAATAACAAAAATGTAGTATTGTAGTTGATGCAATGAAGAGTTCAGTGACACGGTTGGCTTAAGGTATTCCTGTACATGGCTTGGGATAGAACTGTTGTATGGCCAGATGAGGGTGGATTGCCCTTTCTTTCTTTCTACTTTTTTTTTTCTTCCAAATGAACGCTTTGTCTTATGTGTGAAATGTGCATATTTTTTGGTGACCTCAGTTTGATAAGCTGAGTTTGCCTTGTTCATAGTCTCAAGGAGATCAGGAGTTGGTTTGCTCTGTTGGGGTTCCCTGTGTGCAATACACTTAGAATGTGTTCAATGCATGATTGCATTTGTCATTTGGACACTTTTACCTCTGCCTTTTGTCCCTTGCTATGCAAGTGTACTGTTACTGTCGGGTAGTGTTAAAGTTTCTTTGGGTGATTATTTTTTCCCTTATCAAATTGAAGATGTTACAGTTGAACCTTGCTATTTTCCATTTATTTTTGACATTATATGCTTATGTAAAATTCTTACATTTTGCCAAACTTACCTTGTATATAAAACTGAAGTTTATTCAGAATAATTGAATTACTTTAGTGCTATAATTGTATAATCAATTATAATCTTAGGAAGTATTTTGAAATGCTGTTTTAGACTAATCTATTTTAATTTTTCCTTTCGTGTTCTTTGAACTACACAAAATTCCATGATGCTGACTAGCAAAATCATATTCTCATATTCACAGCCTAGAAGCAAAAGCTGGTTTTGCTGTGCTTGTTAAATAATACAGGTTTGCATAAGTAGTTCGATGACTATACGCTTTTTGTTTTAGGTGGGTGTTGTCTAAAACGAAGAAAGAAGACACAGATGAAAACATTTCTAAATATGATGGTAAATGGTTTTAATGTTCATTTCCACCGTATGGTTTCTGATGTTCTGTTGTTCTTTGAGAAGCAGCTACCTCTTATACTGAACTTTTCCTTAAAAACTTTGAAAAAAGTTTGTATAATGACTGTTACCCTGAAACAGAGATGTGAAATTTTGCTCATTGGGTCACCTAGTGTGAAGATAATTTTCTGGTTTTGTCATCCCAACAATCTATTGCAACCCTCTGGCATCTGAATATTCAGTATTGATTGTGAATAGTGCTTCTTGAGAACTACCTTCTCTGAAATCATTTCAGAAAGATGTACCATTTCAATTTTGGTTGTTAAACACATTTCCAAAGCAGCATGTTCTGTGTTGCTGTGTTTGTCCTTCTGATTCATGGGCTGGTCTCTGTCGTGGTTTAAACTTGAAGAAAATTAATTTTATTCCAGCCCAGTCTCCAGGTCTAGCCTCCAAAACAAACGTGTTAAGACTGAATGATGTTTTTCTTTAAAATACTTTTTCAGAATGCCTGTGCTTGAATATAGGGTTCTCCAGTAGTTCTTGTACAGTTTTTTTTCTTACAGTAGTCTAAAACTAATCTGTAAAGTAATAATGAAAAAGTTGTTTTGACGGATTTTATCATTGGGGTTTGCACTTGCAAATTCCTAGGCTAGAAATACCTGCTTTAATACGATTTTAAACTAACAAATGTGTGATCCATGGCAGTAATTTTGCCATATGAATTTATTTCATTGAAGAGAAAGTGTCCCTACCCATTCAAGGAAGAAGTCCCTGCCTGTGGCAGAGGGGTTGGAACTAGGTGATCTTTAAGGTCCCTTCCAATGCAAACCATTCTGTGATTCTATAAAGTAGGGAGAACAGGAAAAGTTTCTGCTGCAGTAGAGAAGTATTTCACACTGCTCTTTTGTCAAATGAAGTCAATCTTAGTAGAAAGTGGTAAGCAAACATAACTTATGGGGTTTTGGTGTGTAAATTGGTATAGAAGAGATGGTTTTAGGTTTAGCACTTACCAGAAATACTTGCAATTAAACAGAAATCCAGTGGAAGTTTACACATGCTATGGGTTTGTGAAATAAACTTAATGAAATTTTGTGGTGTAAACACATTTAATGTTAAATGGATACATTTTTCTGTTCCATTTCATTGGTTTATGCTGGATTATGATAAGGATGTGGTTCTTTCCTACTTCGGAGTTGTCCTGGGTTTAGCAGTGGCAGTCATTTTTCTCTTTCTTGGTAGCTGGTGCAGGGCTGTGTTTTGACTTTCAGCTGGGAACAGAGCTGAAAAACAATGATGTTTTGGTTTGGCCAAGGACTTTGTGAGTCTCATGCTCTGCCAGGGAGGAGGGGAGGCCGGGAGGAAGCAGAGACAGGACACCTGACCCAAACTGACCAAAGAGGTATTCCATACCACAGCACGTCATGCCCAGGAGGTAACTGGGAGTTACCCAGAAGGACATGGGGTCGGCCGGGTCGGACTGGTGGTTCGGGCGTGGGATTGTACTCCTTTCCTTTGCTGTTTTCTCTTATCATTGTTGTCGCTGGTGGCAGCAGTAGTGATTTGTGTTGTACCTTAGTTACTAACCTGTTCTTATCTCAACCTGTGGGAGTTGCATTCTTTCTGATTCTCCTCTCTGTCCCTCCAAGAATAGGGGAGGGCAAGAAGGGGGGGGAATGATTGGACAAGCTGTCTGGTTGGGGTTAAACCACGACAGTTCTTTTTGGCGCCCAACGTGGGGCTCAAAGGGGTTGAGATAACGACAGATGTGACCGGCGTCACAGTGCTGATTTATTGGCTCTCAGAGTTGTTCCTCTTGATCTCACAGCTTCAGTATGTTGTAACTTACTTAGAGCCGGTATTTGCTGTGTTAGTGTTTATGAAGTGTGGGGCTTGGGCTAAGGTTCTTGTCTCACTGTACTTTAACGAGAGTTCTTTTTGGCACCCAACATGGGGCACAAGGGGTTGTGATAATAACAGATCTGACTGGATTGATAGTCACTCGTCACAATGCTGATTTATTGGCTCTCAGAGTTGTTCCTCTTGATCTCACAGCTTCAGAATGTTGTAACTTCCTTAGAGCCGGTATTTGCTGTGTTAGTGTTTACCAAGTGCGGGGCTTGGGCTAAGGTTCCTGTCTCACTGTACTTTATGGCAATGACTTGTAATACGGGCGGGCTCCAGCAGCAGGGTGGGACAGACGTGGCCGTGGACTGGTACCTGGCCGTCTGGCTGCTCCTCACAGTCCTGGCCCTCACCCTCACCTCCGTCTGCGTGAGGCTCTGGGAAGCCGAGGGGGAGCGGCCCCGGGCACCGAGCGGTAGCAGGAGCGGGGCCAGAGGCCGGCAGGGAGCGGCTGCTGGTGGAGGAGGTTGTCACGGTCGAGGAGCGGAAGGAGGTGGCTGCCGAGCAGCGGGAGAAGGCGGTGGAGGAGCCGAGCCCTACGGAGGAGCCGAGCCCCGCAGCCAAGCCCAGCCCCGTGACGGCCGAGAATATTCCCCAGAAGCCGCCCGCTGAGCCCCAGGAGGACGCAGGAGACCCCGCAGCATTTCCCAGCAAGGCAGAGGAGGAAGAGCTGGACTCAGGAAAAGAGAAGCTGGCGGTGGGAGAGCCGGCAAGCACAGCAGCTACACCAGCCCCAGTGACAAGCACAGCAGCATTGTTTGAGAGTTCTGAAGGTTTTGAATGGCCTTTGGGTACCCTTAGGACCTGCCTGCTGATTGTGATGGGGATCAGCATGTTGGCACACACACAGAGTGTGTTTTACCCACCACCATTTTGTCTGATCTCAGAGGTTAAGCAGAGTGGGGTTTGGGTCTTGTCTAGAGTTAGACAACGATACGGGAGGACCAAGAGGTTTCCCCCAAGGCTGGACAGGCATGAGTGGCAGGGCATGTGGGACAGTATGGGCAAGTATCTAATCCACTGAGCCCCTCCAGTGCTTTGGAAGCATCGAAGATGGAAGGCAGCTGTATGGAGTCACCAGCAACAAGCTGCAGAAACTGCTGCGGGGAACAGTGAATTATTTTGAGCCTGGTGGGCCCATGACACTTCAGGCCATCAGAGCAGAGATGCAACATAGAGATGGACTCATGATCGAGGGGTGGACTTAGCAATGGACACTATTGCCCAGGTTATTCACGAGTGTGAACACTGCACACAGCCTCTCCTGCTCTGAAAGATTGTTACAAGAGATGGAGCCTGACATCATGGACCAGATGGACTCAGCAGCTTTATAGGGACTGGCCCATGCACTAAGATAAGAGTGCACTTAGATAAGAGTGATGGTATATTGAAAATGTAGGACCTGAGCATGACGTCAATGGTATGGAATAAGGGGTGAATAATGTCCTGGGTTCAGCAGTAGCAGTCATTTTTCTCTTTCTTGGTAGCTGGTGCAGGGCTGTGTTTTGACTTTCGGCCTGGGAACAGAGCTGATAACACTGATGTTTTGGTTTGGCCAAGGACTTTGTGAGCCTCACGCTCTGCCAGGGAGGAAGGGAAGCTGGGAAGAAGCAGAGACAGGACACCTGACCCAAACTGACCAAAGAGGTATTCCATACCACAGCACATCATGCCCAGGATGTAACGGGAGTTACTCGGAAGGGCTAGGAGACTGCAGGGTTGGAGGAGGTATCGGTCGGTGCTTGGTTGGGCTGGGGGGGGGCGAGTTATCGGTTGGCTGGTGGTGAGGTGTTGTATTCTCTTCCCTTGTTATTTCCTTTATCATTATTATCATTGATGGTAGCAGTAGTGGTTTGTGTTTTACCTTAGTTACTAAACTGTTCTTATCTCAACCCGTGGGAGTTGCATTCTTTTTGATTCTCCTCTCCATCCCTCTGGGAGTAGGGGGAGGGGAAGAAGGGGGGAGTGAGTGAAAAGCTGTCTGGCTGCGGTTAAACCACAACAACTGGTAATAATTTTTGCAATGATGAGTCAAAGTTAATAGGAAACCTTCAGATCGGCTCACGCTTACTTGGTGCAGACCTTTACTGTGAATGTATTTACTAGTTTCAGCTTACACCACCAACATAAATGGCACTTAGATTATCCTCCAGGTATTTTGCTTTTCATTATGCTGGAGGCAGTTAAACATTGCATACACACACACATGCAGGGCTCACATCTGTTCTAGCCCCAGTAGGAAATTTTCTTCAAATACTGTCTCCTCCTACAAATAGAATAAAGTTTCAGTAACAGTAATATTCAGTAAAAGTTAATTTTATTCACCCAGTTGATTGCTTGAGTAAAGTAAATGTTTTGCCTTCTGGCTTCAGAAGGAAAGATGGTGGCTGAGACCAGCTGATCTCCTGTTGTCTTCTGACCCTTTTGGCTGTGCCCATTCCCCAGTACTTGATTGTCACCTCACATTTTATCACATTGTCATTAAAACACTTCAGACTAGGGACTTTGTCCTTCTTCTTCAAGGAGCAAAATTGTTCACATTCTGAGTTCACGTTCTTATGACTTTTATACTTTTATGACTTTTTTAAGTTCACATTCTTATGACCTTTTTATACCAGTTTGTGTTAATGAGGTTTGATGCACACCTATAGCACCATCATGTCACTGAATCTGTTTTTATTTCATTAAGAGCCCAAGTCAAAAATGCGATTTGATGGGTTGTAAAAAAACAAATCAAAACTGAAAGGCAACCTTTTATCTACCTATCAGAAAAGAAAGGAAGGAAAAACAGTTCAGTTTTGACAAAACCTGCCATGCTAGCAATAATTCATTAGAAGAAACTTTATTTTAATATAAATACGTTAAAACTCCTTATATATATGAAGCACAAAGTTTGTCTGTTCTTCATTTATCATTTTTTATGAGAATTAATTGCCTCTATATTATAGAACTCCATCTGTTCAAAAAAAATGTTACCATTAAATAAAGAAACAGCATTCAGAATTTCAAAAAACATGTTAATAGCAATATTATGAATACAAGGAAACTATGCACGCATTTTAAATTTGTGCATTCTACTCTCATAGGACTGTTACATTTACTTTGCATACTCACCTTTCTTTAAAAATATAAATAGGGTATTTACCTATTTGACAAACCAGA